TTATCCCAATACATAAATCTGGGGATAAATCAAATATAAATAACTTTCGTCCTATCAGCCTTATCGTTTGGTTAGTTTTCTTGAACAGGGTAAAATCATATCACCAAATCAGTTTGGTTTTATGCATGGTTTGAGCACCACAGATGCCATCTATGAACTGTCTAACTGCATAAATGAGAATCTTGACAAGGGACACAAATGCCTCGCTGTTTTCCTGGACCTTGCGAAGGCATTCGACACGGTGCCCCACCATTCACTCCTTAGCGTTCTCGATTGTTATGGAGTTAGGGGTAGTGTGCTGGATGTCTTTGCGAGTTTCTTGGCGAACAGAACACAGGTTGTGAAAATTGGAGACTCTTACAGCGACCCTTTAAATATCCAAATTGGAGTTCCGCAAGGTACTGTTTTAGGACCTATTCTGTTCATCCTGTACATAAACTCCTTGACAAATATGGAAGTGGGTAATGGAACAGTAATGTCCTATGCTGATGATACTGTGGTGGTGTTTACAGGGACTTCTTGGTCTTCTGTTAAGAATTCTACAATTGAAGGAATGAGAAAAATAAAGATCTGGCTTGATTCATTCCAATTAACTCTAAATGTTTCCAAAACAAAATATATTGCCTTTTCCATTACTAATGTGAGCAGACCGGAGTATCACAGCATTAGGGTCGATAATTTTGATAGTGATATACTTGAGGTTGATTATATAAAGTACTTGGGAATCACAGTGGATAGGAACCTTAAGTGGGATCAGCATATACTTAGACTAACAAGCAACATCCGGAAATTAGTTTACAAGTTTTACATACTGAGGGACATTTTAAGCAAGGGACTTCTAATAAGTGTATACAGGGCGTTCGTTGAGTCACTGATAAGATATGGTGTGGTTGCGTGGGGTGGCCTTTACCAAAACTCTCTGAATCCATTGAACATAGTGCAAAATTACATTCTAAAAATTATATACCGCAAAAACAAACTCTTTTCCACCAACTTACTATATTCAGTAGACATTCTGAGTGCACGTGCAATATATTGCCTCACATCATGTTCGTATATAAGACGGGCAAACATTTGGGGCAGGCTGTGAACAAAACATCAAAAAAATTGCGATCGTTCTCATATCTTGGGCCAAAAATGTACAATTTATTACCTCTAGAAATAAGGTCAATGCCAAGACTCAGTAGGTTTAATGACAGATGTAGAGTATTTATATATGATAATTTTGATAGATTATAATAGGTATATGTTTATTTATTATTAATTCTAGTGTTATAAAGGGAAAGAGGGATATTTTCAAACAATGTTGCACACACATTGCACATACAGGTGGTCTTGTCTACCTAGGTGCAATCTAAACTATATTTAAGACTTCTTAATTGTAAGCTTCTAGAAATAAGTCACAGCTCTGTAACAGGAAAATCCAGTAATATATTTGATAATAATTCTTATTGAAAGGTTCTCAAAACACTAAAATCAACACGCAGATTTTGCACACTCACGCTTCCCGTATCACGCAATCTTCATAAAATGGGAACAATGTTCTTTCATCAGATGGGTGCCGCTCACTTAGGAAATCTTTACCTTTAAATTCTGACGGCTAAATGAGCAAATTGCAACGATTCTGCCAAAACAAGTTTTTGCATATTCGAGGTTTGTAAACATTTTATTTTCAAAAAATAATGAATTACGTGTATTTCCCAAGTAATTGACATGAGAAGACAAATCAAGAGTCAATTAATCAGTTCAGCCAAAGTTCAACCACCATTCTTTTTTTGTACGGTGTTGCCAGATGTTTAGATACCGAATTACGAGTGAAATTTTCAGGTTGTTTTTTCATTTTTTCATTATTGTTGTTGACTAAATATGCATAAATACCTAATAATTGAATAATAGTATATTGTTGTATTAGGAGTAGAAGCATTACTTTTTTGTGCTGAAGCAGTAGGTTTGCGAGCCGAACGTAGTGAGGCTTGCAATACTGCTGAGGCACAAAAATGTGCTTCTACTCCGTATGCAACACGCTATTTTTTCTCCAAACTAATGGGGTAAGCTCGGGGGCAAGTGAAGGGTTGAGCGGCAGTAAAAGTACGAGCGGCATTAAAAGTACTTTTGCTGCCGCTGGGGTTGCCAAGCAGCATTGAAATTGAATTTCTACCACCTCGACAGGTGTTAACCCGCTGGATTTGCCTACCAGCATAGAAATCAAATTTCTGATATCTTGACAGGGGTTAACAAAGTGGCGTTTTTCTGACGTTGGGAGAAAATAGTATATTGTTGTATTAGGAGTAGAAGCTTTACTTTTTTGTGCTGAAGCAGTAGGTTTGCGAGCCGAACGTAGTGAGGCTTGCAATACTGCTGAGGCACAAAAATGTGCTTCTACTCCGTATGCAACACATTATTTTTTCTCCAAACGAATGAAGTAAGCTCGGGGGTAACTGAATGGTTAAGCGGCAGTAAAAGTACGAGCGGCACTAAAAGTACTTTTGTTGCCGCTCCAGCGGCACTAAAAGTACTTCTACTGCCGCTGCGGTTGCCTAGCAGCATAAAAATTAAATTTCTACCACCTCGACAAGTGTAAACCCGCTGGATTTGCCTACCAGCATAGAAATTAAAATTCTAACATCTTGACAAGTGCTGACAAAGTGACGTTTTTTTGACGTTTGGAGTAAAACTAAATTTTTTCACATTTCATAATGATTATTTCATTCATTATAAAATAGACCCATCAGACAACGTCATTTTTTGAATGAGTTTTGTTTAAATAAGTGATTATTTCGCAAGACCTTATTTATCAGCGATTAAATTTTTGTTTACCTTTTTTGACAGAATTTTGATAGAAATATTCTGACATTTTATAATAAATAGAACTCTTTGGATAGGATTGACGCCAACAATTCAATCCTAATTATTCAGGAAATAATCTAGCCGTATACCACTCGACCTATAAATTTAAATGGATTAAACTATCCAAATATTTTTTGCATAATTTTGCTTTTTGGCAAATAGTTTCATGCACAATAACCATATTTTCACGTGTTAAAGTTTTGTAGTAAAACCTGATACATTCTGTAGATCAGATCCTACTGCAAAATTATCAACAAATTCAGAATTTCATTAAGAATTACAAGAAATGCTAGAAGATACACCATTTGTATAATGACAAAATAATAGCAATAGTTTACAGACAAAAAAATACGTAAAAGAAGCACAAAAATTCAAATATTACCACAAATAATAATTAATTATTCTCGCGAAAAAAAAAAACAAAATAGAAGAAGAAACACTTTGCAATAACAAACAAACAATACATATATCTTCAAAGGATCCAATTTTAGGAGTTCCTTATGCCAAAAATTATCCAAATTTGATAACAAATCAAATAATATTTCGACTTAAGTGACAACTAACTGAATTTATATATTTCGAACTCCTTAGTAGAAGATATAACGAGCTTGACAAATTTGAATAAATTAATACAAAATAAATTAATAGAACAGTCGAATTAGTAATAAGAATCCCAAACAAAAACTACATGACCCTATATGTAAACCGATATAATAGAGACGAGATAAACCAAGTTGTTTTTGACCTTTGCTATTGTTTTATGAGAATCTGTACTTATGTGTTTAATAATAATAATAATAAATAATAATAGGGTCAAGATTTCTGTGTTCTCTGGAATGTTCGTATCAAAAAACTACTTAAATTGAATAAGATGGTAGGCATATCTAAACCTTGATTTCCCAAATTGCAAAAAAAAATGGAAAGTTCTTCATTATTTGAATATATCTATTCGAATTATTTCAGCGTAATACTCTTATTCCATCGATATGATCCTAGAAATTGTATATTCAGTATCATTTTGATGTCCTTTCTCAAGTCCATGAACCGGGAAAAATTTTATCAATAATTGTATGTGCATAGTAGTGAATGTGCATGTCTGTGCTGCACCCTTGAAGTTTGTTTGTTGTCCAAAATGATACAAATGTTAATCTAAAATAATTCAGTTAGACAGAACATATTATTCAGTGATCATTACACATTTTAGCTAAAGCTTTTCATTAGTCAGAGCCCAAAACATTCAACAGTCAATTTCATTTCAAAACTCTTCAGAAAATTCATCTTAATTCCCTAACTCTTAGCAAAAATATTCAATAGTCCTCCCGCTCAATTAAATTGCAATATTGTTCCATAGTCACTTCACTTCAAATCATTTAAATAGTTACAGTTACCCTATTCGATCATAATGAATCCGCGTGATTTTGATGCATTGACCTAAATTTTTCTCCCGCTATTTCTAAGTAATATAATTATTTATTTAGCCAAAAATGTCGCAATTTTTTTCAATTATCAGGATCAGATGTCGTGAAAATGTGAGACCGCATCTACCAAAGGATGTCGAAACTCATGTCGATCATAAATAATGTTTTTTATATGAATTCATCACTTGGTTTCCACAATTCAATTAGTTTAGTTTTGCTTAAAATGTCTTTTCGATGCCTTATTTATCGGTTCATCTCCAGGTTCAGGAACCTCGTGATGTCACAAGCAATATTATTTGAAAGTAGGAAATCTATTTTTGGAAACTTTGTTTATATAGCTTCCGACTTTCTCGATGATCTCATTGACAAGTGGTAGTTTAGTTTAGCAACCTGTTGTGTTGATAGTTTGAGACAAGACTGGCAAATTCTTTATTTATTTATTATTTCAATTTTAACTTTTCAATGTTTTAAGTACATAATTGTCATAACTTATACAAATGCCGATGGAATTGAAAACCCATCATCTTCTTCGTAGAATTTGATTCTTCTGTAGAAAATTCTATGTCGCCAAGAGTTTAAGTTGGAAATCACCATCACCATCGACAACTTGTACTAACATCATCGACAAAAATAAAAACGTGAACTCATGAAGAAAACGTGCTTTCCAATTTAAACCAGAATATAAAAAAATATAAAATATTTATTGAAGGGTTTATTAATTCCTCTCATCTTTAGGCATCGGTTTCGGTCTACTCCTACCAGCATTCATGTCCGCCTTCAATTCCTATTTTGATAAGAAAATGAATGTCATGATGAGCATTTGCCAAGCTGTTACTGTGGCCTTCAGTATTGCAGTACCTCCAATGGCTGCTTGGAGTATGAATACTTTTGGATTAAGGTAAGCAATATATTATATTGTATTATTATATGAGTATTACATTTATGGTCTTTTAGTGGTACATTAATTGGACTGGCAATACTAAATTTATTTCTATTACCAGCAGTATTCGCTTTACAACCAGTTGAATACCATATGAAAAAAGTTTACAGGCAAACCATCAACAGTACTGGTAATAATTTTATATAATTTCTAAATAATCATCTATTAATATTGATGTTATCTTTTAGTGATTCCTCTAGAAGACTTGGACGAACCTAAAAAATCCATCTCCAAAACCCAAATCGAACCGTTGATGTTACAGAATAAACATATAGCAATAAGTCAAATAAGTTTAAACTCAAAACCCGGAATGTCTATTGTGACATTGGGCAGTACTTCGGTGCTCAACTTAAGTGGAATTAAAGATAAGAATTTGCTGAAACAGAAAACAGAGGAAGACTCGATATGGTAAAATACTTTAACTTAATATTTTTTAGGAATTTATTTTAAACACAATTATTTTAGGCAATCTTTCTTGAAATCTATGGACCTATCACTACTTAAAAACTTGAAATACCTGAATATTGCCATAGGACTATCAATATGTTTTACTGGTGATATTGTCTTTGTATCAATTATACCGCTGATGCTTGGAAACGTTGGATTCACCACACAAGATATAGCCCAAATGATGGCGGTGTTTTTTTGTTCCGATCTTATTTCTAGAATCTTACTGACTTTTATCACATGTGTGGTCACTTTTAGAAATCGATTTTTGGTTTTGTTTGCCACACTGTTTATCGCTATAGCAAGGACTGGTAAGAATCATCATTTATTTTTGCTCCAAGTGCAAAATTGTTCTGTTCTAGTATTTGTATGTTACGATAGTTACATGTGGAAATTGGTCATTCTCGGTATTTTGGGTTTCCTGAGATGTTTCGTTCTGACACCCATGGCGCTGGTTTTATCTGACGAATACCCAGACCGATTTTCTTCGGCATTTTCGCTATTTATGGCAGTGACCGGAGTAATCAATTTGATTATTGGACCGTTGATAAGTAAGTGAGCTTTAGCTTATAATTATCCGACTTTTAAAGTTGGAACAAAGTGTGCGTATACCTACCTTCAATTACTGTACGATCTTTGTAGCCCAGATGCTTCTCTAGCTGATGGAGCTATTTCAAAAAATAATAGAATATTGATAATACCTACCGAAAAGTTGACAGAAGAATAACACGAAGGCCATTTAGTAATAGTCAGAATGAATGAATTTGGCAAGATTATAAGTTTATGGGTTATTATCGATGAGACACAAAGAATCTTGTTAAATCTTGCTTCACCTGCCAATTATCATAAAATAAACCTAAAAAGGCAATACATTGTCGAGAGAACAGCAAAAGTCCTTAGATTTTCCAGGTCCTTTTTTTGAAAACTTTTTTTAATCCTAGTGGATGCATATTCAGAATGGTTCGAAGTAATGCCAATAAATCAAATCACTGCTACAAAGACAAAATACGTGTTTTGAGAAATATTTTTACTAGATTTGGTTTGCCTCGCGTAATGTAAGCCAAATAATGAAACGACTTTTACTTCCTTTGAATTTAAGATGTTTTTAAAATCAAATAGAATTACCTAAGCATCGGATTTACGAACCATATCACTCAACAACTAATGGACAGAAGTCCAGGCGGTTAAAAATGCATCTGAAAAAATGTCAGAAAATTCTGGAGATATAATTTTCATGTTAGCAAATTTTCTACTTCATTATAGGAAAACGTCAAATAGTAGCACCGGTCTTTGTATGATGTTAATAAACTTGCACATTCGTACTAGAATTGATTTGATTCGACCAACTGAGATAACCGATATTTGGATATTTATGCTAATAGAGAATCTTTTTATCCTTCACGACAATCTCAGGTCGGCGATAAAGTGCGGCTATGTACCCTAACTATGTAAATAACTCAAAAAAATGAGAATTTGGTAAAGTAACTAAAAAACAAGGAAAGTGACATTATTCAGTTAAACTTTATGATGATAGAATCTGGAGAAGGCATATTGACCAAATCTCGAATCAAATGGAAGCTACAAAAGTTGACTTACAAAGAATGTCACCTGAATTTCCTAAGAAAAACATAGGTACCTACCTACTTAATTACAATCCAACTATCACAACTACTTTATAAAATACATCATCTTTTGCTCCATCCATCAAAAATAAGTTTGTTATCCGAAAATATCTAAGAGAATCCCTGATAGTTCCCGAAGTCAATTTGACAAACAAATCATGTAAAACCGATACCAGTTTTTGTTGCGACTTGAACTAGAAACGCATTTCAGGTTTTTTGCATTTCGTCAGTCAGTGCAGTGAGGGATCCACAATGAACAGATTATGATAATTTTCGAATGATTCCACCATTCCTCTTTGCATCACTCTCAACTATTCAGGACTTCTTTTGATTATTGCTATTTTTTCTAAACCGTAAGTTGCTACCGAAAGTATGCATGTATCGAAGACTTTCCGCTTTAGGTTTATTGGTATTTCCCTGTTTTTTAATATACTGCTCAGCTTACCAAAAGATATGCAAGTCTCAACCTACGTTTCATTTCAGCAGTTTGGTTCTCTTTGTCAATTTTGATAGTATATCCTAAGTAGACATATTCATCGACGCTTTCTAAAGTGTACCTAACGTCTATTGTTACAATATCTTCCGTATCGCTGATTATCTTGGTTTTAGAAAGGTTCATCATAATGAGAATCTTTTAGAATTTAAAATTCAATAAATATCTGTCTTTGTACAAAGGTCTGCTCACAGGAAAAATTCCTTTTTTATCAAAGATATAATCAATCAAATTGTCAATGTCTACGAAATAATCAATTCCATCTTGCAGGATATAGAAAATTCGCTGACGTTCACGTTTGCATAATAAAAAACGAAGACCTTTTGTCTGAAATTAATAAACTACAAAATCATTTAGGATTCAGGAAAACCACCTATTTAAAATATTATTTCTTCGAATCTTAACTTTTTAAAAAAACGTTTACTGAGTAAAAATAAATTTTGCAACTATGTAATGCGCTGTAAAGTTTATAGGAACGGGACGCGCCGCAACGAAAAGCGTACCGAAAGGGTAGGTAAAAGAGAATGGGGAACTAGACGATTAGACTAGACAAGAAGCTGAGCTGGTCCCTAAAGACGCTTGTCTGCCATTGTTTATTATTCAATTTTTATTTTTATTTTGTATTGAACTGATTGTTCAATCCAATTTGTGATTAGTTTGTGTGTCAAAAGGAGCATTCACAGTCTAATTTATTTCGTGTTTTGAGAATACAATTTATACAAGTATAATTTTTTTCATTTTTATGTATTTTTTGTTTGTTTATAACATTTTTTATAGCATGTGCATTGTTCATGTACATAACAAAAATCATTTTGTCCTGTAAACAACACAAATAAAGAGTAAATTTAAAAAAACCTAAGAAATTATGTGCTGTCTTTTGTATTGGGATTTTAATTTGGGTATTCAGAGCGTACATTAGGGCCTTGTTGAATTTACTAACATACCCTGACGAACGAATATCCTAGCAAACAAATTGAAATAATCAATATAGAGATAAAATAAAATAAATAAAATAAAAAAGAATTTTATTTAAACTATTAACATTAAATCCTTAAAATTATGCACATTAAACGCTTAAAATAAAATAAACCTACTTAATAAAAACACATTAGTATTTTCCTTCCATCAACAAAAATATCAAAATAGGAAAATTCTGTAACAAACACATTGACACCATGCAAACATCTATTCAAAAGAAAAACAGAGTTAGGGTTAGAAATCTTTAAAATATTATCTCTCCGCATCAGCCTTATATCTGGTACATTACAACATATCTTATGAAGTAAATCAGGTACAGTAGTTTTTACATTTTGGTTGACTATATTGAATATTAACATCATTAAAATTCCCTACGCCTCTTAAGTTCCACAATACCAAATTCATCAAGTTGGGATTTATACGAGATGAGAGGAGGATAACAAGAATAAAATCCATGCTTCCTAAAAAACACAAACCTCAGAAACCTTTTTTGGATTCTCTGCAGCATGTCTTTATGATACATTGTTGTAGGTTCCATATTATACTGGCATATTCCAGTTTTGATCTTACATATACATTAAAAAGTAGTATGTAAGTCTTTGGGTTTCTGAAGTCTGCACAGGAGCGCAGTACGAAACCCAGCTTCCCCATCTGCATACAAACCATCAATGTGTCCACCAAACGAGAAACTTTCAGAGAACAGTATTCCTAGATCAGACATTTCTTGAACCCTGTCCAACGCTGAATCATTAATTTTGTATTGTGTTATGATAGGAGTCTTGCTCCGAAAAATGCTTGAACATTTACATTTTTTAATATTTAGTTTCAAGTCATTGTTGACACAGTATAATACAACAGCATTCAAATCTTTTTGTAAGAGTTGACAGTCTGTTTCTTTTTGAACTGAATTATAAATTTTTAAATCATCTGCATAAAGTAAAAAATTGTGAGTATTCAACACATCTAGATATATCATTGATAAACAAGACAAACAGAAGTGGTCCCAAGATAGAGCCCTGAGAGACACCAGAGGTAGCAACAAACCTATTTGATATGGCATTATTAAACTTTACACACTGACATCTGTCCGAAAAGTAAGACTTCAAGTATAAAATAAGATTTGAATCAAAACCAAAGGATTCAAAATTTTCTGACAAGCACAGCATGGTTAACCTTGTCAAAGGCTTTCGCTAGATCAGTATACCTACACAACATCCGTCTGAGATCCAATCTCCAAATGACTGCTTACATATTCAGAAAAAATACTGAGATTAGTGACAGTTGACCTATTTTTACAGAAGCCATGTTGCTGACGAATTAGTATATTGTGTATTTAGGTGGAAAAGTGACACATTCTCGGCCGACGGTGTGAGTTGACGGGCCAGGCGTAGCCGAGGTCGCCAAACACCGAAGGCTGGAAAAGTGATTCCCGTATTGTTATTCATTGATTCCCTAGCAACTATTGAAACATAATTAAAATACCAGAATCTTGATTTTTGCGACCTGTCAACCGGTCAAAAATGTTGACATTTCATGTCAATCGTAGAAAAAGTTCCATTTTGCATGTGCTGACTGATTTTCTTTGACAGTGCTGTCAAAACAGTCACAGGACGAAAATTCTCAATGAGACGTGTATTTCCATTCTTGTGAATCGGTGTTATACGACCAATCTTCAAATGATCAGGAAAACAATTGGTATCCATAGATTGGTTAACTATTATTTGCAGAGGGATCTGTAAAATGTTCAGATAAGCTTTATGAAAATATGGTGGTATTCCATCTACCCCAGCAGATGGCCTGGGTTTAAGACTTCTCACTGCCTCTGAAACATCATCAAGAGTAACAGTGCCAAGCGAGAAAGCATCCAAACCATAGTCCACTAGACAATCAGTATTACCATTAGGCTGCAAGCCACTGTCTGAGTACATATCTTGAAAAAATTGAGCAAACGCATTAGCAATAGAATTTTCATTAGTAAAATCTGTAGGTATCTTGATATGCATATCTATAACTAATATTACTATTTTGCCTCTTTTCTTTGATAAATTTCCAGAACATATTAGCATTATGGGCAATATTTTGTTCAGTATTTGTTATAAATCGAGAACGAACAGCTTTAATAAGCTTTTTTGTTTCTAATCTTAGCTTACAGTATTCTTCACTCACTATATTTTGCTTTAAATTTAGATTGTTTTTTTGACATTTTGGCGAAGTGTTTTTTTTTTATTTAATTTACGTATAAGTTGTTTTGTGAACCATCTTGGAAAATTTTTGTTAAAATTACCTATTTTCTTCTTTGGAATGCACTGCTCAAAAATGTTGTATAAAATCTCATAAAAAATATGAACGCACAGATTGATATCAGGACCATTTGCCAGTTCAGTCCAATCCTGCTCACTTAGCAGTCGGTGAAATAAAGGATAGTCAGCACGAGCAAAATCATAAGTAATTGAGCTAT